AAAATCTAAATTGTTGATAATTTTTAGGTGCTATATTTCTTTGGATATTTTGGCCTTCGTTTAACGCTGTAGTTGCATCACCAGAAGATGCTCGACATCGAGCCCTTATGAATACCTACATTTCGCTATGTGCTTGCACAATGGTGACATTCCTCCTCAGTCAACTGACAGATCCAGAACATAAGGTTGGCAATTCTAATACATCTTGATTCGTATATTAATTAGCACTCAAGATTTTTGTAGAATGATTTGAAATATGTTGCTAATAATTGATGAATTATCGTTTTAATTTGACAACCAGCAATTTTCTTGCTGCAGAACTTCTCCTATTTTACAGATGCGATTTTCTATGGTACATGTAGCAAATTCAACACTGGCTGGTGGTGTTGCAATTGGGACGACAGCAAATGTTGTACTTCATCCTCTCCACGCTGCATTGGTTGGAACCGGAGCTGCCATAATATCCGTGCTTGGATACGCATATTTAACGGTAGTATTTTCAGTATGTTCACCAAATTTGATTGTGCAAATTTCTCTAGCTGTATTTTGGAAGGTGGAAAAATACGTAAAACAGAAGAAAATTTGTAAGATAACAGCTGCAGAAATAAAAACGTCAGTGTGCGGTCTGTTTAAAATTTCAAGAAAAATTTACAATAAACTTGTCATAAGTTTGAACGAGAGTAAAAATTAATTGCTAATACATCTACTCTAATCAAGCCTGCTTTTTCAGCCATTTATGGCCAAGAAATTTAGCATACACGATACATGTGGTGTCAATAATCTACACGGAATGCCAGGTATAAATCGTTTATTGATAAAAGCTTTATTCTTTTGTCAGTATTTAACCAAAACATTTTTCGTTTGAATCTAATTTTAAACTTTTTAACAGACTTACCTATGTTTGCTAAGTATTTAAAAGTGCTTTAGGTTTGTATGCTGGTATATTAGGGTTTATATTTGCTGCAGCATACGAACCAGCAAAGTATGGAGAAAGGTATAAAATTTTTTTATAGTATAAATAACGCTAAATAAAGCAATAAAATAGCTTTTTGCTGAAAAAACAGTTATCTGTGAACATTTAGTCTCGGTATTATTTATCCAGCTATGATTGCTACCGATGTTAAAGCTCGAACACCAATTATACAGGCTTGTTTCCAACTCGCTGGTTTAGCGTTAGTGTTAGGATGTGCAATTTTAAGTGGAGCCATAACAGGTGAACAATGAGATTTTTTTGCTAAAAAATTTCAATTCAAATTGTAGCAAATAGTACATTTTCAAAAAACATCTGTTCTTGTGTTGATCGTAAATATACCTCAGTGGCTTATAACAGAATATTGACAGGTTTAATACTAAAATTAAAACTATGGAATCAAGTACGGGAGAAAGAGTATTATTCAGATGGCGATTATTTTGAAACTCCTGGAGACTACGATTTTATGACACGAGTAATGCAATCATTACTATCTGATTTAAGCGCTACAAAAATAGACTTTTTTTATCAAATTTTTTCTTACAAAACAAACAAGTTGATCAATTCTGCTAATCACCAATTACGTTTAGATCATTTCCAAGATTGATCATGTTGAACTCACTGAACACAGTTATTTGACTCATAAAGACGGGTAAACGCAACGGTCTGTTTCTCAAAGCTTCCTGAAGTGCATATACAGAAGTTTATTTTTGTCTTTATTTTGACCGACAGATTTGCAACTTCATCAGTTTGTCAACTTTGTGATGCAGAACAATTCTAACTTTTATTATCGCTGAATTTAAACTATATTATTTTGTTCCTGAGAATCATATCGTACTTCAGTTGCCTTCCCAATTGAGTGAAAATACAGTATTAAAATTTGTACAGTAGCAACTAATTTTTTGTTCAGTACCTGAGGATTTTGAAGAACTATTCCTAGTTACGCAGTTAGTTATTGTAGCTGCAATTAAATTGTAATCATTACTACTTTCCTTGTTTCTTTGATTCATTTTGTTTTATATATCTCTTGTTTTTTTTTTTTCCTTTTTACGCCGAAATGCTTATAGCTGCCATAAAGTCATTCACAAAAAGCAGTTTTACGAATGAAAGAATTAAAAACTGAATAAATGTGAAACAAAGTATTATTTATTATTTCCGGTTTCAAAGTGAATGAGAGACATGTTTATGAATTATCAAAAAATGGTACTGAGGAGACCTATATATGTTTTCAAAGACAGTTTTATACAACATTCAACTGACAAAGTAATTTACGTCTCAAAACAAGAAATTATTCAGATTTCAAGCGCAGTTGCAGGGTCCTCTTTTTCTCTAAGACAGCCTCTTTACCATGCAAAAAATTTTTAGAAAAATTTTATCTGTTTAGTGAAAATCAAAACTGCCATTTGACGACTGCTATTAAAAGCCTTTTGTGCATAACTCTGTGTCAGTGTTTCCTCTTCCATCTAAAGCCCGAGTCATCGTCGAAACAATTTGTTTAGCTGTGGCTTTAATTTTCAATCAAACTTTTATAGTTTCCTATCAATCAAGCACACAGAAATGCAGTAAAAAATCAGCAAGAAGTCAAAACACCAAATCGCCTACTTTAAAAGGTCGTTTTAAAGTGGTAAACTGAGTAAAGAAAGTCATTGAAAAAATGAAAAAGGGCGTCAACGACAAGACACATTCAGCACACAGAAGCAACTGTTTTAGCCAATTAGCATACTTCCTCTACGCAGAAAATCTGACTGGCACATGCAGACAACAATGGAAAATTACAGATTTACGAAAAATTTGAAAATTTTCTTTAGAAGAAAACAGTGTGTGGATATTTCTGTTTCTTTCCTTTAAATACTCTCAATCAGCCATTAGTGAATTTTAGATTATACCAAAATTTAATTTTCTTTACCAAAGCTTATTCATACACATCCTACACCAAAGTCTAAAAAGCTTCGTATAAATCTAGTCTTCCTCAGTCTCATTTGAAAATGACAAAAATACTGAACATTTTAGTCAAGAATCTAGTTCTAGTAGGCTGTCTAAATTGTCCTAAAGTCTAAAAAGCTCAATTTAAATATGTGCAATTTTGCTTAAAATCACGTGAATACAAGTTACATAATCCAGTAAAACGTTACGGAAAACAGTATTTTTGTCTACGAATTGCAACGACTCTGGCTAGGCTCTTTGTCAAGGTCAAATAATAGACAGCATCTCATACGACCAATTTGCTCTTAAATGGGTGTATCTGATAGATAAAAGCAATTTCACTTCAAACGATTTCTGCACAAACTGAAAGTGCACGATATACGGTTTCAAAAGTTCTCATTGCTTTGCTTCAACCTCTCACTGGAGTGCGATATCATTCATTATGACGTAGCGAAAAGACCATATTACTAAACATGTCAATTTCCCAACGGTTAATATAAGCTTACCACCGGCTACAAATTATTTGCATAGCCGCATTGTCCGCTATTTATCTGTAGCACATTCCGATCTAGAAGGTTCATCTCAGCTTACGAAAATAAGGTTGGTTGCAACCATATGCGAAATACCACCAAAATATCTGTAGCAAGTCAAGCACGATTCGTTCCCGAGAGGACGCTCTGGAAGGGCGAACTGGAGGTCTCAAACAGCAAGGGAAGCAAAGAGTTGGCATAAAACGACATAGAACCTAAGAAAAAATTTCTTATTTCGATACCCAGTCCCGTTTCAATTCTTTCAAGCAGTATTCTTGTTATTTAGAATTCCTTTTGAAATAGCTGCTTTGAAACTTTTTTACAAATTGTGCATACTCGACAGTTGGTAGGTTTCTTTCATTCTAAAATCAACAGGGAGTCTTTAATTGAAAAATTCCGTTCTGTCAGTGATTGTGCTACTGACTCTTTGACAATTTAAAGTTTCATCTTTGTAACATATGGGATTA